GACATTAAGGGAGGAACATAGACTGAGGGTGTTTGAGAGCAGAGTGCTGAGGAGAATATTTGGGCCGAAGAGAGATGAAGTGACAGGAGGCTGGAGAAAACTACATAAAGAGGAGCTTCATAACTTGTACGCTTCTCTAAGTATAAGTAGAATGATCAAGTCAAGGAGGATGAGAAGGGCAGGGCATGTAACACGAATGGGGAGAGGTGGATTGCATATAAGATATTGGTGGAAAAGCCAAGCGGAAAGAGACCGCTGGGAAGACCAAGACATAGGTGGGTGGACAATATTAAAACTGATCTTAGATATGATGGGATTGAATTGATCTGGTACAGGATAGCGATCAATGGAGGTCTCTTGTGAACACGGTAATGAACTTTCGGTTTCCTTAAAATCCTGGGAAATTCTTGAGTATCTCCACAATTGGCGGTTTCTCAAGAGGGGCTCAGCTTCATGAGTGAGTGATATCAATGTGGATTTTAACCCACAAATAAATTAAAATTATTAACACGTTTAGGCAAGTTGGTGCTACCGTCAGAACATTTAGGGGTGTGTGGGATTTGTATGTAATAAAATGGTGATGCTGTCTTTGTAACAGGCCGTAGAGGTCCGTGGGTTTGCGAAGTGTCGAGGTTCTCATATTTTCTAAATAATCGGCTCACTGGTAGTGATGGAGTTGTCGCCCTTATGCTCCGGCCGCCCTTTACACCAACAGGGATTTTCCTGGTATTTCCTTCTGTTAGACATTGAGGCGACCCCAGGGCCATAGTGCGACTAGAAGGGTCAGGTCGGTTTAAAATCCAATGGTCTCATCGAGAATCCAACCTGCGACCTTCCTCTTTGTAGCATAGTGCCTCAACCATCTACTCTACCCAGTGCCTCCGTATGACTTATAGACGAGTATCAATTAGCGAATGTATTTATTGACCACTGATGTACACCACTCGGAACTACACTTCACAGATCACTGACACACACAGACTAGTATCCTCAGTCTATTATAATCTCCGCTAACCATTTGCTAGCAACGGTTTCTAACAGTGTAGATTCCTCAGCTTCCATGGTCACGTCATTACTCGATGGTTAACACTCCACACCTGAACTCATAGCGCCATCTTTTAAGCCTCCCTTACAGAGCTCAAATCTTTACTTAGAACTTCGGAACCCGACTCACTATTCGCAACTAAACTCTTCTTTATAACCACTTTGCATTGGCCGAATAGAAAGCATTATTTCCAACAATTCTTCTATCGTTGCTTGAGCATCCATTGTCGCGGAAACCTGTTTACCGAGCAGCAGTCTACCACTGAACATCTCCTTTAGCTCCAATATTCCGGCCTTCAGGCGACATGTCACAATAACAATTTGAAAATGACGAACTGTCGACTAACGCGAGTAATTGCTCATTTCGTGCATGACTTCCTTAACTACTGCAGTTTAGATCTCTGCAGAATGCAACCTGCTACAATTATATAGGTCCTATTCAAATAATGCTGGCATTATAGTCAACTATTAGACATTTCTGTACGGGAGGGTGTGAAGATCGAACCCGAGCTCGTGAAGCTGAAGAATCTCCACTGCTAGAAGACGTTGCCCAGGAAGGTCTGATGAAGATACAAGAAGCTGGAAAAGGCTTAGCGTTTACTGTGGTGATTTGTGAATTGTGGAAATTAACTCTGGCTCTGTAATTGCTTGCAGTCCTGAGGCGCATGTATAACTGGCCAGTAAATCCATTCACCAATTGAAACCCCGTCTATAGTCACACATACTACGTGATAGTATATAGAGTTTAAAAATAAATACTCTTTAATACTAACATTTGTCTGTATTTATAATGCAGGTCTATAGGTCGATGTTGTCGCAAATATGCATATTGTCGGAAATTTGCGAAGTTCTGAATCACTAAGGATCTGAAATGGAAAACTTAGACTGCAAAGTTCTGCTGTGGCTATAAGTGCGAAAACCGTATTGGTATCCTCGTGATAGGGAACATCTCCTAGAACACAGAGGAGTTAATTTTACAGTTTCGCCATTTCTAAACCTCGGAACCAGATGAGTGTTAGTGGTCAGCTTCACAGTCTGACGTCTTTACCCTGAGGGGAAGAGGCAGCGGCGTAGCCATAAAAGCCTGTCACGAGGTTGTAGTGATGAGAAATATTCCTCGGCGTACCTGCAAGAGAACCAGGTTCATCCCATCCCCACTCTACTGAGTTACACTAGCTCATGTTCAATTGGGTTAAATGAAGTTTACCTTCCGTTCCGTTCGGTCAGTTTGACTCCTGCCAATTCCATTTAGTATAAACATGAACTAAACAAGGCCGATCACAGTGGCTGCGCAGCCTAAGGCACGAACCGTCTTCGTCCGCTCGAACACTGGGATCGTAGGTTCGAATCCCACTCGAGGGATGGATGTCTGTGTGCGTTTATTGTGTTTGTTCTGTGTCTAGGTAGCGGCCTTGCGACAGGCTGATCCCCCATGCAAGGAGTCCTATCGACTGTGTATAGATTAAGAGAGAGAAAAATCGGCAAAAATTTAACAAAAGGACTGTAGAACGATAGATAGATAGATAGATAGATAGATAGATAGATAGATAGACAGATAGATAGATAGATAGATAGACAGTTGAACTGAGAAAAATTCTTTGAATATTTAGGTAACCCCCTTGGGAATGGACAGTCCTTCCTAAGGAAATTTCAGTTTCCCACATTTGTCAAGGAGTTCGCAGCCTCTTACACTTATAGAACATTAAAAATTGGTACGTTTTTCAGAACAGCTGGCCACCTCCCTGAGATGTCGAATGCAACCCACAACATCCTACTAAGATGAGTTTTAATATTATAGCTTTTCGAAACTTGGAGCTCGCAAATGGTGCCTTCACTTACAGTTCTCAGTATCAATACATGCATTCTTTTAAACCTAAAAAGCTAAATATGTCTTAATACATAGTTTTATAAAATTTATCTAGATACGTCCTTTTTCCGGGAACGTAAGAACAATTAGGAAATTTGCATGTTTCTTTCCTTATTTTCAATCTTAGCTAAGTTTCGGTGAATGCAAATATGACTGACATAGCTGTCCTGACAACGAGACACTGGGACTCAAGATTAGGCCCACAATTAATACCCATTTATTAGTTACTTAAAATATAAAGAAATGAGCCTACAAGATGACTGTGCCTAAGACATACAAAATATTTGCCTAGTGATGGGGGAGATCCTTATCACAACTTGAATTCAATATGGAGTTAATCAAAGGATATTAACACGGCTACAGTAAAGTGATTTAGTGTCCGTAATCGTCATCAAATAAATAACGCCGAAACTAAGTAAAGTATGTATAATCGAGTTTATTTAATAGATCTATTTTACAATTTGTCAAAAAATTGAGAATTTGGTTATGTTACTATATTACAAACGCCGATCACATTGGCCGAGCGGTCTTTATTTCTTTCCTTGGCACTACGGCCCCAATGGGCCTAGGCCTACCTCCATGAACTTCTCCGTTCACTTCGGTTTTTCTAGATCTTACACATTCGGTAGGACTCCTTGGGCGGGTGATCAGCTTGTCGCAAGGCCTCTACCTGTACACAAACACACACAAACTAAACATCCATGTCCTGAGTGGGATTCGAACCCGCGATCCCTCTTTTCAAGCGAGGGAAGTCAATACATGCCTTAGACCGCTCGGATACTGTGACCGGCGGCCGCGCGGTCTAAGGCATGAAATTTTTTTCGCTCGCTTGAAAGCTTGGATTGTGGGTTTGAATCGTACTCAAAGCACGGATGTCTGTGTTAGTGTTGTCCTATGTATGTAGCGGCCTTGTGACGGGCTGATCTCCTGTCCAAGGAATCCTACCGACTGTCTGAGATTAAGAAACTGAGGTGAAATGAAGTTCTTCACTGATGCTCTATGCTTCAAAATCGGAGCAACAGGGATGGAATAATAAGAAGAAAAAGAATAGTATAAACACTACCGAATCAACATATTACACACTAAAGCAATTAACTGCTTTTATGGCGAACGTCAATTTTAAAATAATTAACAGGGCTAACAAATTGACGAACAAATAGTCTTCTTTTGTAGATTTTCCAGGCCACATTTGAAATGTTCCATTCAGTCTCCTGAATTTTGCTCTGAAACCCCGTTACAAACGTGTTTTCTTACGTATCGGTCCTTCCCAGAATTCTGCTATTCACGGAGGCGTGTTAAATAACTCAGCCTCAAAGGACCGGAGACTCGGGCAAGAAACGGTCTACAGATTCCGAAAACCCCCGTTTTCCCGCCCTCTCACACTTGACCTGGGTCACTGTGTCAGCTGCAATGGTAGCGGTCACCGTGAACCTTGGCGTATGTGCACTACATCGCTCTGGAGTCTGTTCAGAAAGGAGGGAAGTGATGGGCAGAATTTCGCCCCCATACAAGCAAGCAACCCCTCCCCGTACGTCAGTCACATGAAGGGGCTGGAAACGGGAGAAGCACCGTGAAACATGCGTACAGGCGGGAGAGATCTGCTCGTCTGAAAACCCAACCCAGATCACGACGGTGCCTCGCCGGAGGCTTCGTATGGTCGAGAAGAGGTTCCCTTATTTACGAGGAGGGAGGGTGAGGAGATAGTGGGGGTGTTACAAAGTAGTAGAGGGGACGTACAAAGATAGGAAATGAAAAGCGTGCACCGGGTATGCCCGAAATAAAAGAAACAGAAAAAGGAGACAACAAAGACAGACCAACAAGGACTGCAGTACGAGTGACAAGAACAGATAGAAGTTGTGCGGGAAAGAGAAAGAGGATTGCGTGTAAAAACTCAAGTACGATGGTTACGCCATCTGGCGAGCAAATGTTTGAACTACGACAAGGCCGATGTTTAAGGGAGGGCATCATCTCCCACAACAGTACTGGCACTGTAATATTGGCTACATAAAAGGTGGAAGGGGGACGGGATATAAGACTTATTATTATAACATATAGTTTGGGGAAGAGAGTCCGAACAGATTATGACATAACTAACAGAGGAACGAATTGAGGAGACAGAAACGACTGCGACTACTACGGCCCGCCGCTGACATCTACAAAACTAGCTACAAGCATAGGTCAGTCGGACCAAGAGACGGACGGTGTACCTTCGGCCATGGGCGCGCACGAGGACTCGGAAATAACAATCGGTCGCGCGTAATACAGGGTCTTTCCGTTTTAAATTCAAAATACTTCTGATACGCGAGTGTTCGCATTTTAATATTGAAAAAAACATAAGATTCGGATAGCCTATTTCGCTACGTTCAACTCCATCATAAGGTGTTTTGAAAACAACCCCTTTTTACATTGCACGTGGTCTAGAAAAACGAGAAACAAAAAGTAAGGTAGACAGAAAATTGGAAATTGCTGCTTGTGGTTATAAGCCTATGCTTTCAGCTAAATGAGACTTATATACAGGAACTGCCTCTGGATTAGATCACTGTCCTTATCGAGAGCATAAAACGCGGGCGCACACGCGTACTGATTCAGTATGGAATATGAGCATTAGTTTTATTTAACAGGTATTTAAAAATTGTCAGAAATCCCACATGCTTAGCCTATGTGTATGTCGAGGTGTTGAATAGCGCGACACTGACAATCTGTTGACAGCTGTGATGTCCCTTCTCCTGTAGGGTGTCTACCGCTCCGTAGAAGTGTAACGCGGTTTTATTTCGCCGAATGGACGGGCTACTTTTCCGACAAGGACTGACAACGTGAGCGTCAGTGCTGTGGATACTTCGCAACGGCCTAAAAGTGACTCACAGGCTACAACAGGTCCGCTTCGAAACGAAGTTTCTGCCAGTGACTTACGAGCTCTCGTGGTAGCAGCGACGGTCCGCCATACCGATCGGGAAATGAAACAATTTCAGCCGTCACGTGTTTTAATTTCTGTGTAGAACCGTGTGTGTGAGTGTGTATGTGTGAAGAACCACATCATGTCATCGTGTGATATTAACAATTATTTACGAGGCGAAGAAACATAAATATTTTCAAGTGGGTGGAAAAATACATCCTTTATGTTAGAATAGAAATGGTTGCACGTTACTTGGTGTTAAAGAAAAGAGTTTTCTTTTTGTGCACATGTTAAACTTCTAATTTTGCCCATTCATTAAGTAACAAATCATAAAAGTAGGTTCTTGTCTATTCCCTCAGCATGATTATAATACTGCAAGGGGACAATATGTTTCTTTCTTACAAATTTTCCCTTTCGGAGTGAATCGATTTGTAGCAAAAGAACTCGCCTTACGTACAACTAGTTTGATAGCAAGAGTTATCCCGCTGTGTATAGGGAACAGTCGTTTCTAAAGAACGCTTGTAGTCCATTAATTGTATTATAGTACTGACGCTGCGTAAGATTGCCTGAGAATAAGATAAAAACGGATTATGAACACAATTCGCGAGAAAATATTGGGCATATATTTATCTAAGCAAACGCAATTTGTGTGAAGTTGGAGAAAATTTTTTTGTTGCATATAAACCTACATTAAGTGAAAATCTTGATTATATTATTATGCTTTCTTAATTTAAAATAATTTACAATAATCTTTTTTCGGTTAAAATTATAATTTTAGATGGGCTTATTGCATTTAAATAATCAACCGTGCTCTTCCAATAAGTGAATTCCTCAGTAGCTTTAAATCGTGTGAGAGACACTGTGCTAGTTGTCATGGAAATAATCAGTGCTGTAATCCAGTGAACGAAACAAAACACAGTCGGGAGCTTTACGCATAAAGCAGTGGACAGTTCTGAGCCCATTGTTAATCCTGCTAGCATTAAGCTACTCTCTCCCCCTCTAACGTAATAGCGCGGGCAAAACAGAAGAACAACTGTTAATTAACTTATTTTAAACTCCACTTTAAACGCGTTGAAGACAATAATTGCTCTATCTATTGCGGGGTCATCAAAATAAATCTCACTGTTACCGCTGTTATTAAAGGAAGTCAACAACAGAGTCACTAAAATCTATAAACAAGCCCATAAATTTCAACTCACCTCCGGTACAGAGCTTCCCCTCACTCTTTCACGCCGCCGAAAACTCAGTCATTTCAGAAAAGTTATTTCTAACTTGTTATATTACAATTACTTCTCTCATTACTGCTTATTAAACAACCAAAATTAACAGTCACACTATTTTTTTTTTCAGTTTCCGCACGTTGGAACCCAGAAAGACCACGTTATATCGCATATCTCTAAAATAATAATAAAAACAGTCTTAGAAATTCCCCCCACCTCTCGTAATCATCTCGTCAACCTCCCCTCCCATTTTGAAATACCCCCTTAGTACAAAAGCACACATCTATAGTTTTATACGCATGCGCAGAACGTTTATGTAGTTACTCCCAATATACAAAACCGGAGAGGATCAAGACACATACAGAGCTGAAGACTTTTTAACCTGAAACCTCCTCCCATATCCCCCCCTTCTCATTCCTCCCTTTCTGAAATTCTCTCTCCATTAACCCTCTATCTCTCTCTTCTCCTCCCTACAGTACCCCTCTCCCCACCCTCTCTTTTTGCGCCACTGTCTCTGTCTAACATTCTCTGCCTCTCGTCCCTCTGACATCGACAGCAGGGTTGAAGAATACAACTGCAAGTACCCAATCAAAGTTTGACGGACCACGGGGATTGGTGGTTGGGTTTTCAACCAAAACGGTGAAACTGGTGCGAGCGACCATGATGTCGTCAAACAATCGTTGGTGCTATCCATGTCAGCAACGACGCTGCCGGAATAATCTCGTGCGTTAGACAGGGCGCGTGCCCCCGTCATCATTTGGCGACGGCGTGGTAAACTAGTAGTAGTCATGGTGGTGGTGGAAAACTAGGCACCCCCCGCACCCCTTACTCTTATTTTTTGGATTTTTACTTGAGGGTGGTTTGTGTGTTAGACTACGACCAGAACAACGTGGCATTGTATACGCTCTTCCTCCCCTCGCGTGGCCTGCTTGCTACTGGAGGTTGGTAGTGGTGAAAATTTCAGAAACTTGACATAAGTCACCATACTGTGCAACAGAGACAGATGAGTGTCAAAGTGAGAAAACAGATTTCGTCAGAAACAGCAGACGATCAGTACAGTACCAACATCACCATCAACTGAGGCAGACGTATGTGAGTTCTGGTATCTACTTTCTGCTGCAAAGTATAGGGAAGGGACGACATAAAGAGAGACAGGCATCGACTTCTCTCTGCCTCTCTTCGCTCTCCCTCAAAACTTTTTCAGTGGCTCTTCTACTTGTCATCATATAAAACACGTGATCCGAGCAGACGTAGCGACGCAGTGCTTGTTCAAACCTTACGATCAGTGGTTGGCCCGGAATTACCCGCTATTTCCCTCATTTCAGCAGTCCTTTTTAAGATACATATACAACAGAACTATCATAAACATGACCGTCATCAGTAAGGAGAACTGCAACTTCTACCACAACCGCTTGACAGTAATTGCGGCTCATAAACTAGACGAAGACATCCGTACGGGCCACGTGGTCGCGCTACGTTGAAAAAGAACTATAGAGGAAAAGCATATACTATTTTTTAATATGCTGCGTGCGTGTGTTCAGTTTTATTGAAGCATATACTTATAAAGCGACTTTTAAAAGTACTTCTCAGAGGCAGTTAACAGAAAATTTATGCATTGCGAAAATTTTATGATTATTTTCGTCATTACGAATTTATCGGCAATCTACTCCATCAAATGACTCTTAAGTGAAGTTGAACTTTGTTTGGATCCAAGTTATTGTCAATTAAACATTTCGATTTTGTTTTTTAGTGAACAAATCCATCAGAATAACAGACGAAAAAATAACTGTACTATGTACTTGTGAAAGTGTTGTGTTAGAGCACATCGAGATCATCCACTCCAGAAGGACTGTTAATTTTTTCGCCTAATCCGTGCAGAAACATTAGTTCTCAGTCTACAAAAAGTTCCTACGCGTGATATTATTGTGGTTCATACATGTAGTCAAAGCGTTTAATTGGGTCTCTGTGTTGTAACAAAACTTGCAGTGGGACAGCTGTTTTAACATTTGCTCTCCTTACACATTGAAACTCAATTAACAATAAGAGGAAAACCCGCAGAAGTTCCTGTAAACCATATAAAGAAAATTAAGTGTGGCACAATGAGTTCTTACCAGTTCGTGAATTCTCTGGCGTCATGTTACGCGAACCAGGGTCAAGCCCAGAGGGCAGGGGCTTCCCCTGTGAGTGCCCAACACCCCGCATCCGGTCAGGGACAGGCTGCAGACTACTACAACCCCAACGCAGGGGCCACCGCTTCATACCCACCCAGCTGCTACTCGCCTCAACAAGTTTCCGGCCATCATGCGCAACATTATCCTCAACATTCCTACGCTGCCAGCAGCGTGTCAGCATCTCAACACATGCAGAATGGGGGTGGCGCTGCTTCGATGGTGGACTATACCCAATTGCATTCGTCCCACCCTCAGAGGCTTGGGGGTGGCGCAACAGTGACTCATCTCCAACAGCACCCTCATCATCACAGCGCAAACAATGCGAGTCCTGGTGCAGTAACCCCTCCCTTAGGGGTTGTTACAACACCTGGTGGAGCTCTCCTTAATAATAACTCTGTAGCAAGTAATAGCAGCTGTAAGTATGCGAATCCAACGACAACTACAGGGGTTAGCTCTCCGCAAGATTTGAGCACAACAGGAGGAGGACCTCAGAGGAGTAGCCCACCGATACCGGTGGCTCAGCAGGCCTCAAACCCCAACAGCGTAACTGGAGGGAAGTCAACAGTAACATCTCCTGCTTCAGCTTCGAGTACGAACAGCCCTTCTGGGGCCGCAGTGAGAGCTGCTGGAGGGCCATCAGCTACTTCTCCGGCAGTTACAGGCCAGCAGCAGACCACCGGATCTACAACGGCATCATCGGCTGTTTCCCAAAGTTCCTCGTCGCCTGCATCATCCACATCTTCGACTTCTAGCACGACGGGATCGACCAATAACACCAAGCAAGGGGGAGGGTCCACCACTAGCAACCCCCCGCAGATCTACCCATGGATGAAGAGGGTGCACCTCGGACAGAGTAAGTACATAGCTCTTCAAATCAAATTAAATTTATCGGTTTTTGTTAATATTTGGTTACTTATTTTTGTTGCAGTTCACTATAAGCCACGTTTTCTATACTGACAGGTTATGAAGTATTCCAAACAAAGGTTAAATTAGAAAGCTGGATCCCATTGAACACAGAACTGACATTATTCTCTCATGTGGAAAGAAATGGTTACTTTAATTCGTACGTGTATTGCAAATATCGCTTATATATATATATATATATTAGCCCAAAAGTGAAACGTACACACACACACACACACACACACCGGTATATGTTAGTTTTCAATTTTTTGGACAGTAATACTTGTTTAGCAATTTCAAATTAATAATCTGGGCATGCATTAAACTTTCAACACAAACATTTTTAGAAACAAAGAAAAAATAAGACATTCGAAAAGAAAACACTGTCAATACCATTCATGCAGATTTTATTAAATTACTTCTATGTTAATTTGAATAAGAGCATGAACATATTGAAAAGTAAAATTAATTGTTGTCGGCCCCATTTTTCACCCTATCAAAATTAACCTGCGCAATTTTTTGAACTCTAGAATCATATGATTTGAATGACCGACTGTGACAACGTTCCCTTTCCAGTGCATTCTCTACAAAGTTTTGTGTTGCCATCTGGTTGTAAGACAATACAGATGTGCACATATGTGATAATGTACTTCAAATTAAGTATTTCAGCGCTTGGTAATAACCTTTATACCAGCACTACCCTACATATTGTGCAGATCTTATGTAGATACATTTCTCCGTGGAGGTAACACACTCAAGTTTGCGTCTGTGTTACCTAGGAAATTCTGCCCCAGATATTTAGTTTCAAAGCTCCAGTTTCTGGCACTTCTAATGATTTAAGAATACTTGTCACAGGCTAGTTTTTGTGCTTAATGAATAGATCTGTGTGAGAATAGAAAATAGTTCACTCGTTGAAACCTACTTTGGTTAACGAAATGATGAAATACTTGTTCAAGAGCAGGACACACTCCTGGCCCTTTGCGTACATGAGAACTGATGAAACGTGTACATCTGATGACCTTCATGATCTGCAGTTACATCACTTATAACAGAATACTGTTTCTTATTTAGGCATTAAAGCAACATACACGAAACTCCTTAGTTTTTCCAATATTTACGTAATATTCTAGTTTTTACAGCTAGGTCTTTGTTTCTAAAAGTGTGAGAAATTCTCACATATACATTATTTCATTTTCCTTTATAAATTTAAAGCAGAGGATCAGAAAGAAAAACTATATGTGAAAAAAAAATATATATATATATGTGTTATATAATTATACAGCTTTACTTTACAGTCATTGTATAAACTGAATAGCAGTTCTCAAGACAAGTTTACTTTAGGAGGGTTGGGGGGGGGGTACTAATTATTGAAACCACTTTCAAATCGCCGAATAATAAAAATATTGAAATTTTATAGGCCTCTCGACCTTCAATAATTAAAAATTCCCATATCACGTGTACACTAAGAGTGCCTTTACGGTCACAATTATCAGGGTTATGAATTCATACTGCAGCCAAAACAGTTGGTGTGCGCCTAAACGTTTAGTGTCTATTCACCAAATCCTTTTATTCTATCAGCCTTTACATGGGAGATTTGAAGCCAGTGTTTCAGAATATTTTGCTCATATGTGTACGCTTTGTGTTCAGCTCTCCCTTGCAAATGCTGGTAGAATAAAGGATCAGGTGAACATAAACTGAACATTTAGCAGGACATTCAACCCCTATTTTCCTTCTGTTGGCTCCAGAAGTCTGTAAGCACTGAGTAGCAAATACCCAAATCTTGTAGACCCACAGAAGAACACGGACCACCAGAAGCCCCAACGCTTAGGATTTATAAAGAATCTTAGGACTGCGGGTTGCAAGAAAAATAAAACGAGTCTCTAATCCATTGTAACGGCGTATTCAAGTCTACAAATTCAGATTCTTTGTAATAATTAAATAGGAATACAATTTTACAGCTTTCTTTTTAAATTGTCCTCGTATCATGAGGCTGGAAAATACCCAGGCTTGGGTGATACGCAGTTTATGCTCTGTGCAGTATATCAATGGGGTGATGAAATCAAGAAAGAGGAGATGAATAGGGCATGTGGCACGCATGAGACGGATGAGAAATACATACGACATTTACGTTGCAAAACCTGAAAGGGTGAATCTACTTGGGAATTCTAGACATAGATGGGAGAGGATAATATTAAGACGCAGATTATGAAGTGAATATGAGAGGGTGAAGAGGCAAAAGATATTTACCGGTGGTGGGCTCTTGTGAACACAATAATTAACGTTTGGGAACCAATAAAAGTGGGAAATTTTATAATTAGTTAAGCGAATAAGCCTATTAAGTTCACAAAAATTTATTCTGTTCATTAGTTATCGTCATAATGGCTACCGAATAACAAAATTCATGCAGATCTTTTGAAAATTTTGAAATTTTACGTTATTATACTGGAAAGTTCATTACATTCGCCTCAGGACCTTCTAAAATAATGTAAATGTAACTAGATATGAGTACATTTTAATTACTATGCAAAATACCAACACATCCTAGTTTTAACATTAACATATAGCACTATAGGACAAACGCCATGAACGTTTCAGGCTCCCGTCCTCTCTTCCCGTTCATAGTTCCACCACAAAACTGTTTTCTGTTAGTTTTGTCTTCCCACTAGCTGTTTTGTCATCGTCACAATTTTTCAAATATTAAATCCGCGACCAAACATCGTAATAAAATGATTACTGCGCAGTTGGTACAAATTTAAAGGTCAGATCTTCTACGATCACATTTCTAATTAATTACCATTCAGTATCCGTAACAAATGTGATGTTCTTTATGTGTTGATATTTGCATGAAGGATAATAAAAACGAACAAATTGCATTTCATGCGTTTCTTTCTCCCTCAGTTCTATATAATGTAGTAACTAGAAGGGCTAACCAGCCTGTGAGTGTAACTACAATTAATAATGCATGCTAATTTCCGACCTTCTACTCATACACAGAGTTCAGTACGAGCCGGGTTGGAAGCTAAGTGGATCGAAATGCATATATATATATACACACACACAAAACCACGTCTGTAAAAGTCCCCAATCAATTTCCCTGCTCATTAGAGGCTAAAAGGAGTCTAGGCGAGTCTGCAGGGCTGTGAACGAGGAGTTTACAACAAAGTAAAAGGATGCAAGCTGCAGAACGGGTTCGGAAGTAAACACAATCATATTCATAAGAGTTTTAATTATGAATATCATAAAACTACATGTAAAATACACCAGAAAGCCCCTGTCATTGTGTCGAAAAGAAATCCTTGCAGATGTAATAATTACTTAGTTTCCTCGCGTTTTTACAGTTGCACCATAGGATACATTAGACGTCATAATGCACTGATATGATGTACGCCATATTAATGATGATTCAGAGTAAGTGTCAAAGAAACTATGACACTCCGAGGAACGAACGTGAACTTGTGGCGTTTGAGAACACTGTGTTGTGGAGGGTCTTAGGACCACAAAGGTAGGAAATATCAGGGGGTTGAATGAGAAACCGCAGTCATGAGGGTCCTGCAAACTCTTATCCTTCATTAAATACTGGTACAGCAGCGACAGCTCAGTCGGTGTTGCGATGTTGTACAGGCTGGACGGCCAGGGTTCGATTCACGGCAGAAGCAAGATTTTTCTCTTCTCCACAGATCCCACTCAGCCTCCTATCCAATGCATACCTGGGGCGTATCCCCAGGGGGTAAAAAGGCCGGTGGGTGAAGCTGATCACTCACTTCTACGTGGAGCCCAGGTTAAGTATGGTGGAGCTATACTTCCACACCACCTTATGTCTTCATGGCATAGTGCTTAATTTATTAAGCATAGGGAAATTTTACTTTTAACTAAATATTGGTAAAATGTTATGAGATGGGCACTGTATGCAGTATGCATGGAAAATGTGAAATTCGTACTAAATGTTGAAGAGAAGAGACCACCTTGGAAGAAATTTACGTAGATGGAAGGATACTATTAAAATTGATCTTACTTATATAGAACGTGACGGTGTCTTGGCGGGCTCTTGTAAACACAGTAATGGACCCTGAGGTTCCGGAAGGGGAAGAAATTTCTTGACCAACTAAGTGAGAATAATCGCCCTACGAAGGACCCTCTTCCGTAGAGTTAGGGAGTAGAGACTGTGAGGTATCCACATATGTGCGTTAGGGGACGGGAACTTGTAGCCATGTGTGCCGTAGAAATGCATGAATCATGTAAACCAAACAAGTTAGCATAGCTGAAGGATTTAGTTTTAGACTTTTATTAGCCTGTTATGTGCATATTTAATTTAAACTTAATTCCTCTTCATCGTAACAGAATACAATCCCCGATACCATCCTCTAAGACATACATCATAATACATTAAAAGTTGTATTCTTGGAAGTGGATTAAGTTAGTAAGAAGAGACTAGTGTTAATACGAGTACTTGAGCTTACACTGTACAACTAACACATTTAAATTCTATCTGCCTGATTACTAGTCTTATGAATGCATTACTTATCCAACTTGTAATTAAAAATTACCTTTCTATTATTATAACCGGAAAGTTCATATCTTTAGCATAAAATCAAATTATAAAACTCTGCACTGAGTTAATTCGAACCAAATTATATCTCCACAAAAATATCCTGAAATGCAGTTTTAATATTATCCTTTCCACTCCTACCATTGACTTTCCTCAAGGAGGCCTCCTACCAAAATTTTTCATTTCTGTTTCCCCTTTTGGATTAGTTAGTGTGTTAATTCTAAATCGAATGCACACCATTTCCTTCTAGAAGACATAAGCTGCTATTTGAAACTGAAGACTGCATTGTAGGCCTACTTGGAAATTATTTGAATAAATAAATCGAAATATACTTTATCCTGTATTAACTTCCAGAGCAGGATGATATATTTTTAAATCGAAAAATAAGTTTGTGTTTGATAAAT